CCCACAGCAGGAATGCTGCTGGACTGGCACAGGAGGCTGGTGATGCTCAAAGTTTGCTATCATGTACAAAATCTTGACTGCTGGTTAAGATGTCCCTAATACACAGTTTTATAGAGGTTGGGAAAAGTGTGCTGGAAAAACAGTGTAACATGCATTTCCCGTTCTGATAGTCTTAAGCATCTGCTTTTAGATGCCATTGAGTGCAACATAGATGGGCCTTTGGTTTGATCTAATAGTGGGTTTTTTTTTTCCTTATGGTTTCATGTTGTTTGTGCCTAACTACTCTAGAGCCCTACTTCTTCGTGGAGTATTGCAAATCTGCTTAATGTTTGCAGGACTCAGAATGATGCCTCTTGAAGACAGTACTGCTGCTGGGCAGACAGAAAGGGGTGATCGCTTTAGGTGGTTCTGTTCAGCTCTTACTGGTACGTACAAGGGGAGGTGAATAAAAGCACTGGAAGAGACACATGAAGGTTTGGAAATGTGGGCACTGGTGTCATGTATCAAAGCACAATGAGAAGCTTTTCTGAAAGTATTGCTAAGTGGCTTGAAATCAGCAATACTGTAAAGTGAGAGTCTGGTTTTGTGAGATTAACAGCTTCGTTTTCTGTTCAAATAGGTTCAGATAAATTCACAGGACTACTGAGTAATTATCCACTGTTATCTGACTGAACTTCCAGTCCTAAAGATTCAGTGTATCTGGAAGGTTTGCTCAACTATGGAAACCTTTAGTGAGACATTTTAACTGCAAGAGCACACACAGCATCAGCTGATAAAATCTGCTGTTTCCAGGTCTCCAGTATCACTTAATCGGGGCACCAGTTTTTAACACTTTCCCTCTAATAGGACACTGAACTTGTTCTTGTATTTAAACCAAGGGTTATTAATGGGCTATTATGGAGTATTAGTTTAGAACCAGTGATGCACACAACCTTACTTTGTTATAGTGAGAAAATGACATTATGTGTATTTGTAATAATCAAGAACAGCTTTAATTCCATGCCTACTACAGAAAGCACACTATGAATAATAATCTGTGCAAAGTTAATCACACTAAATTTTGTTTTAATTAAGGCAAATATCATGTCCTTGTTTAATGAAATCATATATATTACCATTAATAAATGGCTTGAATTTTCTTTTGCATTTAAGCTGCTTGTAGAACAATATTATCTTAGTTTTAATATGCTGGTATCTTGGAATTTTTTTCCATCCTCAGTGTAGTCTGAAATGTGTAGGGTAAACAGCTGTCTGTTGAATGTTTAAATGTCATGGCACTAAAACATAGGCAAAAGTTGACTGTCCTGTTTCTTTTCACTTTTCTCCCATGGTGCTGTACCTGGCATTGATACCTGCTCAGAGCTTTGAAACACTGATATTTCTCTCTGTGTGTACTCTTCAAGCTCTTGATTGCTGTAATGTAGCTAGGAGTCGCACATCTGTAAGCCCATAATGCTTGGCAAAGCAAAAATGTGGATATCTATGTGGAGCTGTAGCTGAGCTATGCGTGTCATTCTGCTCTCCCTCCTAGGCTTCATTCTTTAACTCAGTTAGGTTCTTCCTGACTTTCTTCATCAGCTTTTCTGAGTCTCACTGTCAGAAATACATCAGTCTTTCTGAGTCTTCTTTCCAGTTACCCTCCCTGCCTTCCTGTTCACCTTTATAGCCCATCCTAAAGCTGCTTGTGGAAAGCGCGTCTTTGCCATTTGCCAGAATACATGGATGCTGGGCAAACACCCATATGGAGTAATCATCAAGAGGCACCATCAAAGGTGCGGGAGACCTTGATTTTGGAAACCACTTGTAAAACATCCATTAAGATCACTGAGACCCAGGGACACTCAGTGTCACTGATAAATCAGTTTCTATATATGTCTGTAGCTTCAGGTATAGGGTTTGTTTCATCAAATAAAAAAATGCCAACAGTTGTTGCATTGACATTATATGGATGATTGTATTATGTATCTAAAGTATGTTTCATCTGTGTTACTTAAGATTAATATATGTTTTGCGGTAGGAAATGGATGAGCCTATATGGATTTTTAGTGTTTCAAAACAGGAAATTTTTGTGAGAACTTACAGAATGGCTCTAAACACGATAGTTTCTGGACTCAAGAAAGGTCTAAGTTGTATGATTCATCTTAAATGATGAAGTGGGGCATAAGTACACACCTGGTACTTATACTGCTACAGAAATAGACACTGTAGAAAGCAGGGTGATTAGAATTTTGGGTTCAGTGTTTTGGGTTTCGCAAATTCAATGCTGGAACTGTAGAGAAAGAACTGTTACTATGGAGGTGCAGCAAAAATGGTAAGGTCTGACATCTCACGAACCTTTAGGCCACCTTAAGGCACAAGCTGGGAGATGCTACTTTGTCCAAAGGTAAGACACAACCCATGAGTTGATTGGGGTCATGGTTCCAAAGGGAAAAAAGCATTTCTCCAGACCCTGCCAAGCAGCCTGCAGTTGCAGGAGCTGCTGTCTCACATGGGAGGTGAATGTGATTCCTCCTCCTGTGTAAGGGACAGTGGGGCTTCCCTCACTCCTCATGCTGTGTGGAGCATTATTTTTGTGGGGACCTGTTGCTCCAGACCAAGCATTTTGTAGAGGGACTTAGCAGGTACGACTTGTTAATCATTTCCCCAGAGGGAGCAGCTTACTGCTTGGACCTCCTCACTAGGACAAGAGCAGGCATTTGTCCATGATTTCTGCCTGGGTGGTGGTCTGTGACAAGATGGGCAACATGACATTACTGCTGAGTCAAGCAGTACAGACATACCTATGACGAGGGAATGTTTTTGCCCCCTGTAGCCTTAAGTAAGCATGTAGATGCCAGACTTCGTGTTTGTCTTGCTGTGCCTTCTAGTCTACTTGCTTATTCCTCTTTCTTTGAACTGCCTTGAAGATTGATAGTGTAAAAAGAGTGGTGCTGGTGGGAGAGAAGCAATCTCATTTATACATGGTGAAAGAGCTTAATGATGAGTAAGTCACCTCTGGTCCTGTGAGCTGGTGGGAGATGGTTGTGGCAGAATCAGGCTGAAGGTGGTGAGAGCTGTCTCTCTGGCACACCTACCCAGATGCTTCAGCCTCTGGTGCTGTAAGTGCTTGTTCCTTACACCCCATAAAAGCTGGTAAACTGGATCAGTGCAAGGTTTGGATAAGGCAGCTTATTGGATTCAGCGTCGCAAAGGGAAAGTGGTGGAGCCAGAGCACAGTTGCTCTCTAGGGCATTTGCAGTGTCACAGGTGTCTGGCTGTCACATCAGTTGCTTCTATTGAGCCAACGTGAGAACAACATGAACACCAAATGTGCAGGAGTGCTGCTGGTGGGAGGACAGAGCACAGGGATGGAGTGAGGCCACTTTGTAAGACATGAAGTCAGCTACGCACAGATCTGCTGAAATTAGAGGCTAGAATTGCTGATTATTCACACACATGAAGAGTCTTCCCTGTGTTAACTGGCAGCCTGTGAGCTTGATCTGAAGTTTGTGGCAGTGCACTATGGAGTCATGAAGATTTCAAAATATTTCTTGACATTAAGAGCTCTGAAATTCCCTTTGCTTCCATATCTTGAAATGAACATCTCCCAGTGAGCTTCCTCACACTCTTCAAGAGCCATTTATTTGCTAGGGAGTGGTTCTGGTTTTTTTTTTCAGATAATGATGAGATTCTGTTTCTGGAGTGATGAAAATCATTTCTGTCTTTGCTCTTGTGAATTGAATATTCATTTTCAGTATCTGCTGGATTAGTAATAAGACAATAACTGCATATGATAAAAAAATACAGAAATTCATAACTACATTTGCAGTAGCGTATGTATGGTATAATTTTAGAATAAGTCTTTAAACTTTCCATCAGTATGTCTAATGTTCCTGCTTGGGTGACTGTTATTTTACCTTTGATTTAAAGTAAAAATAAGATAAGATCAGAGTCATGATTTGTCATTCCAATTGGAATTGGTCATCAAGATGCTAATCAAATTACCTGTTTCTAAAGAACTGATTTTACTAACATGCATGAATGGTTTCCAACTCTATCAGTTCTGAAACTTTGTCTGGGTTTGTGTTATCTTACCCAGCTTCAGGCACTCTGGTAGTCAGGTATCTAGCCTAGCCTAGTGATGTAGGCTGCTGCCATAATCGGTGGAGAAGGGTATGTTGCCATATGTCCCACTCTGCTAATCTCAAACCTCTGTCGTTCAAGGGATCAGATGACTGTCAGGGTGCCCATCTCTCCTCACTGAGTCTAGGTCTGGGCAAGTTTAGGGAGACATGCAAGTCTGGCACCTTGACCACATCAGTCCCTGTAGACCCATGTTGCTGAGAAAAGTTACATGTCCCAGGTTCAGCAGCGGTTCTCTTGGGTCAGGAAATGCTGTCGTGATCCCATGGCATTGGTGAGCTGTTTTTTGTAGCATGTGGCTTAGGCACAGGAATAAAACGGATTAAAGTCACTTAGAAAAGCCACTCAAAAGGTAGCCCTGGGCAGGGTGTAGGGGGTCTCCCTGGTAGAGTGGGCATGGAGGGAGGAATGTTTTCATTACTTCAGCTCTGCTGCCAGTGCCCTGGGGAGTTAAGCCTCAAGATTTACCCATTTAATAGGTATAACGTCCAAGCCTGTGGCACTGATTTGGTATTTCCGGTTGCCCCAAGCTGCCTTTCTCTGTTGGCTGTATGTCCGGCTGCACTCCTGCCAGGAAGCTCAACCTTGGGGCCCCTCTGGAGCCCTAGGAGCGGGGTAAACCCGTTCCCTGAACTCGCTTCCTTCCCCTGCGGGCACCGGACGGCACGGCGGCTCCGCAGTGACTGCCACCGGGGTCCCGCGGCTGCCCGGGCCCGGGCCCGATGCAAAGCCCTGGGGACAGAGCCCCGGGAGGTCAGGGGGTGCGGGCTGAGAGGTGCAGCGGAGGCGGTGGGGGGGGCGACAGCGCCAGAGCTCGCCCCCTCGGTCCCTCTCGGCCCCGCCTGACCGCGGCCGCCGTGCCCCTCCCGGGGCAGGGGCTGGGGCAGGCGGAGCGGGGCGGGGGAGAGGGGGTCGGAGCCGGCGAGGCGTGATCGCCCGAAGCCCCTCCCGCCTGCGGGGAAGCCTTAAAACACCCCGGCGAAGAGCAGAGCCTCGCACTCGGGAGCCCCGACCCACGGGCGGAAAGAAGCGCCTCTCTGAGCCGAGAGCCGCTCCGCTGCAGCCGCCGCCGTGAGTGCCGCGACGGGGCGGGCTGGGGACGGGCACGGGCAAGGGCATGGTAACGGGACGGGACGGGAGAGGGCCAGGGGGCGGCCCCGGGGGGAGCTGGGGAGGCCGCGCTGGTGCCGCCGTCGGGTCAGGCGCTGACAGCTGCTCTCCTCCATCCAACCCCGCCGTGCAGATGCAGGGCACTGTGAGGCTGTGGGTGTCGGTGCTGACTTTCGCCCTGTCGCTGCTGGTCTGCCTGGGGACGCTGGCAGAGGCGTACCCCTCCAAACCGGACAGCCCCGGCGAGGACGCTCCCGCAGAGGACATGGCCAGATACTACTCGGCGCTGAGGCACTACATCAACCTCATCACCAGGCAGAGGTAGGCAGAGCGGCCGGGCCAGCATCCCTCTTTCCCGCTCCCTGAGATACCGTTTTTCTTGACGAGGCTGACGGGAGGAAAGCGGGGTGCTCCCACACACGGGTGTCTCGCCCTGCTGCCCCCACCAACACGGAGGAAGACGTGGTACACAGGCTTCCTTTAGAGAGGGGCAGCACCCGGCGTGGCCTCTGGGTCCGGAGCTGAACTTCCACCATCCACGCTGGCAGAAGGGGCAGGGGTGTCAGTGCTGCCTCTGCTCTCATAGCCCTTTACAGCCCTGGCACAGACAGGCTGGCAGGAAGGAGCACACACTGCAGGGCAGTGTGCATGAGGAGAGGCCCCCAGAAGAGGGACAAAACATAACTAATCTGAGAGATGGAGAGAGTTAGGGCAGGAGAGCAGTGTCGCACTGCTGTTGCTGCCACCGACTTTGGTGAATATCTTGATGAGAAGAAGTGCCCTTCTAGCCTTAGTGAGGAGGTGTCATAGCCCAGATGCTTTGTGGTTTGCCGGCTACCTCATGCAGCTGTGAGTGCAAAAAAAGCACTAGTACCCACAAAAACTCTCCCAGAACCACAGGCAAAAACCCCAGCCCAAGCTGAAAGAGTGTGACCTGAACTTGCCTGGCTCTAAACTGGCTTTCCAGGGATGACCGTGCTTGTTAAAGTAGGGATAAAGGCTCCATCTGAAAAAGTGCCAGTTATTATTCAAAAACTGTTTTCTTTGGGAGCATCTGTCCATTTTAGACTGTGTGATTAACAGAAGTTTTCCCTGAGGTCCCTGAACAGTGTGTGACCCATAAGGACTTAGACATATTTATCTATTTGTTTAATATCAAAACCAGATGGGAGGTCTAAAATTAGGCTTTCATTTGTTCTTCTAGAAGTCTGAAGAATTAAATTAGAAGGGAGGCTATCATGTAACTGAGAGCTTTCCCAGCAAACCCATAACGCTGTCTGCCAGTGCACTAATAGCACAAAAGAGATGAGGAGGCTGATAGAAACACAGTTCTTCAGTTCTGAACTTTTAAAGCAGTATTCACAACTCGTTCATGTGTATGACATGCTTCTTTGTGATAGTTCTGTGCTCAGATAACTTCTTCCCAAGATTCCTGCTATAATAATCTGATCCTTGAGTTTTGCCCCTGCTGCCTATTTCCCTTGCATGTGGTGGGATCTCCAGGCTGGTCTCTCATCTCTTCTTTTGTTTCTTTCATCTCTGATTTCAAAGGTGGTTCCTCTCCAAAAGCAGCTTATATTTAAAAATATATATACAAATATATATATATAAATATATATACAAAAGAACACCAACCTAGCAAAATGAGCCCTTCTTTCTGTATTCAACATCTGTTTCTGGTGTGTGCCCTGTATGCTTGCTTTAATGTTGACTGTGTAGCTTTTTTCCCCTAATTTCTGGGGTACAAGTACCCAGCTCAGAGACTGAGACTTTTATTCTTCTGTGTGGGTCTGGGTTCTGAAAGGAGCAGAAATAGTTATTGTTGCTGATGGAGAAAAGAAAGCAGAATACAAATTTTGTTCTTCAGATCTTACCTAGATTTCTCACCCTCCCTCTCATATTTGAAGGGAACAGAATTGAGCTGGAAGCACAAGAAAGCTGGCAGAAAACCCGCACCTCAACAGCAACACATTTCATGGCACACATTTCAAAGTTAACTGCATAGGTTAACTGAAAAAGAAAAGCTGTGCTGTTTCCACTGTGTGGGGAATTAACAGTGCAGAAATAAAGTAATTGCCACCTCCGTTTGGAAAGCTCAGTCGAGCTCCTGGAGGTTGTGTGTTCCGACAGTGGCACAGGCACTTGCAAAAAGATCAATAACTTTGACAGCATTTAGGAGTGGTCCGTTTCAGATGTGCTCAAAGCTTTCTATCTTCTTACAGCTTTTTAGCTTTGACTTTTGTCCATGGTGCTGCTTGGGAGCCCTGTAACAGGGGGGATGTCCATGAGCTTGCCCTGCTTCTCATGAGGGTCTGTGAGCAAGCCATGCTTGGCCTCTAGCCAGACCTTGTGCCTGTAGCCTGGTCACCGTGCAACTGGTGAGATGGAGCACTAAGAGCACATTGATAAGGAAGTTAATCTTTTCTTTCCCTTCAGGTTCATCTGTTTTGTCTTGTTTGATGTTTCTGTGATTATGAATAACCTTTTGGCTCATCCTCTTGCTTTCTGCTTCTGACCTAATCAGGTATTTGTCATTCCCCCCTAACACACAGGGTCTTTACACCAGCTCCTATGAAGCTTCTTCCTTCCAGACCACCTTTTTCTTCTTCTTTTCCTTAGACCTTGTCTGTGTGGCTGCTTTGCTACCTCTCTCCTTTGAGATCCTTCTTCAGAGCCATCTCACTCAGCTTTAGACAGCTGTGCCCGTTAGCTTTACACTCCTTTGAGGTTAGCTGAGGGAAACTTGTAGAATGGAGGTCACCAGGATGCTGTAGCTTGTTCATGAGTCTGTGGCTGTTCAGTGCTGTAGCAAAACAGTAAGGCCATTTCTCCTGGAAGTGGCTTGAACTATAGCCAGGGCAGAGAATATCTGAAAGTGTGTCTGAGTTAGGCAGTACTGATGCTCCTGCTTCGTGTCAACACCCTTTAATGGAGAATGAAGCAGATTTGTTTTTTTTAATCAGTTTTCTGAATCAGACACATGAATCCTTCTGGAATCCCTCAGCTGCTGTTCCTGGTCTTGAACATTGATGGGATTTGACTCCCAAGACCCAAGTTCTCCTAAGAAACTTTGAGACTTCGCTGAAATCTGAGATACTATGTCCCTAATCAGAATAAGTATGTTTACTCTTCCATCCCTTTGACTTCAGCTTGAGTTGTGGGTTTTCAGCATGCCTGAAAAAAGACCTTGATATCTCAAGCTGATCATAAAATATAACCAGGTAATGTCACAAAGCTTGGAGCCCCATTCTTCTAAAACAGTGATGATAATTTGGTAAGTTTTTCCCAAACAGCAAACAAAGGCTTTCTGTGTTCATGTTTTCTCAGGGCTGGGCAGGGTAGACAAGGAGCAAAGCATGAAGCAGCTGGAGCAAAGATCTTCCAAGGCATTTGTTTCAGTAAGAAGAGATTGACTTTGTCCATGGCCTCATTTTAGTATGTCTGTAGAGTGCTTGTTTTGCAGTGGCAAAATAACAGGGCAGACAGGAGGCTCAGGCATCTGATACAGGAAAATCAGCCAGTTGGTCACAGTCAGTGTGTGTGCAGCTCTGCTGTGTGAGGACATTGCAGGTCCATCCAGCACCGGCAGCAGCACTGGTCTAGCCAAGGCACAGAAGGCATTCATATAAAAGGTATCTCCCCAACACAGCTGTCTTCATGATTTGACCAAATCTCTGCAGTCCGGGTGGCTGCCATCTATTTGTGATTCAGACAAAACTTTCTGAGAGATTAGCAGGAGTTTTGCTCAAGTGTGAGCTGTTGGAGCAAGTTGTTGATTTCTTAAATCAATTTCTTTAACATAACAGCAGATTAGATTCCCCCTCAGCTGAAGTCCAGGTCACATCCATATTAATCATAGTAGGGAACCAGAAAGAAATAAATCCCTTTGTGGTGATGAAGTGCAAGGTATTTGATTCAGCATCATGCTTGATTGCGTTATTGTAATAGCATTTTACTATGTATGGCTGGTTCTTTTCAGATACCTGCTTTCAGTCAGGTATCTGACTGAATTTCTTCTTTCTAAATTTATTAGATTAAGAAATTTACTTTAAATTTCTGAAACTGATGCTTTGTCTTTCTGGAGCATAGACGGTGTACTAGAATGAATGAGGCAATGTAAAAATACAAAGAGTTGAATAAAATGATTGAAAAGTGACATGTGTTTCTAATTTTCAGGAAATTATGCCATCAACAGGTAAAACTGCTGGAGTTTTAGGTATAGTTTAGGAAGAGTTTGTTGGATTTTTTTCTGCCAAGTTTAGATCAAGTTACAAGAGAAACATCTTGATAGCAATGGATAAAATGTAAGTCCTTACTTACACCTTTGATTTTTCTGGGATTAGAATTCCCTCAAGTGGCATTCACAAAGCTGTTGTCTGTTAATGCGCCTTGTAATTCAGACTGATTACATACACAAGTTATAAATCATGATCTTAATGCTTTCTAACCAAAGGAGTGTTTGCTCCTAAGAGTTATCACTCTTAGGCTAATGAATCCTTATAGTGATGAAATGTCTGTCAAGCCAGCTGCTCATTGTCACTTCTGTTTTCCTGGCAAAAGAGAGCAAATTCCTTCCCAACAACCAGGAATTGCAAATAGAAGGACATCTGCTATGTAAATAAAGGTAGCCAGTGGCATCCCATTTAATCGGAGAAGAATTCCGAATCAGAGTTTTCTTTCACACAGTCACATAGCTCCAGAGTGACGATCACCTTGGGGGTAGCTCAGTTTTTATGACCTAATGTACTATGTGTAGGGCAGCCCCAAATGTACTAGCTATCTTAAAAAATCTTGGCCGATTCCTTGGCTAATATGGCATACTGAGCTTTGTTTTCTGTTAACTTCATAGATAACGGTACCTCCTCATTTACATGTATATCCTGAGGAAGGGTACAGTAGCACCTAAACCAGTGAGAAAGTTAATAAAATGATGGAACTGGGTTTGAGGGCAAGAGTGACATGCTCTGAGGTCACATCATGTGCAGCTTTCCTCCTCTTCATGCTCACACTGGTAACGTGCAAGGTTCTAAAGTATCCAGCAACAGCTACCAGATTGAGAAATATTTAGGTTTCTCAATGCTATAATTCAAAATGATCATGAAAAAATACAGAAAAAAAAAAAGAAGTACTGAAAAATGAACATTTTCTCACATGGCTAAGTCAAGTTTATCTAAAATACTTGCTGAAAAGTTGTATTATGTCTGCTCTACCAATATTTTTTTCTGAAAAAAAACAAAATATTGACCAATGGTTCTGGCCTTAATCTTTATTTTTAAAAACTGACATATGTCAAAATATCATTTTTTTTATCTTTCCTTAGATATGGAAAGAGATCAAGCCCAGAGACACTGATCTCAGACCTCTTGTTGAGGGAAAGCACAGAAAACATTCCTAGATCCAGGTACGTATGAAGAGTTTTTTAGTGGTGTAGAGTTCTCATTTAGATTTAACAGTTTCATTTGTTATCAATAAATATGTTTCACAGGGAGAAAACATATGCCAGCAACAGATGGGTAAGCATGTCCTTAAAAGCATAAATTCCTGTTTTGTTAAGAGCTAGAACCACCCATGAATGCAATAAATGCCTTACCAGATACAATATAGTCCAAACTCCTTGTTTCCTGACTTTGGGAGCAGGCCATTCCTGCTCTTTGAGTGAAGGGAAGCATTCCCTCACATTGGTCCTATACTGGCCTTTATTACACAGAATTGTATGCTGATGCTTGATGATGATTCCTTACGTACTGTAGCCCCAAAGATGGCCCATTTCTACTTACTTGCTACTCAAACAGGTTTAGTTTTTTTCCTCCAAAGATATATAAGTGGTAAATATGTATATAGGTTAACTTATACACAAATGCATGGCTAGGACTGGTTTTTAAAAGAAACTATTTCACATTGGGTTTGTACCTATTATTTTGCAAAGGGAAGAAAGGCCTTTACATTTCCATTTGCACTCAGTTCAAAATAAGAGTGGTGTTACAAGTAACAGTGGGATTTCAAATGTACATGCTGTATTTATCTAGTTAGGTAACAATACTATAGCTATAATGTAAGATACTGTAGTAGTGACTACAGTTTACACAGATGAGAAGTATGTTGAAGAAGTAAGATGTAGAGGGAGTTTTAGCTCATGGAAAAAAAAATACTGGTTTCAATTTTATTCACAATCAAGCTCAGTTTAAGCCTTTACTGGTAGCCTGAAGTTTGCTGATATTATATCTACTGCAGAAATAAATGTTTTATGCAGTAGTCTCCTCAGGAGTCTACAAGCAACTGCTCTGCACTTTCATTAGCTTTGCAAAGGCTCAATTAGAGAAGTTTAAGTACTGAAATGTAATAGTTTGTAGCACTGAACTTGGGGCATTGATCTTCTTACTGAAAGGTGACCAAAATCTCTACTGCCATCAAGGGAGATTGACCATGAGATTTGCAGATCTGCGCGTAGGGAGACCATTGACTTATAGTTTGATGACTAACCACAGCTGTGGGGATGCAGTTTTCTCTGCAGATGCTTATGTAAAAACTGCATGGAGTGCAGTGAAATGTATTAGACTATTTTGTGTTTGGTAATGACAAGGCAGAGCCTTCACATAATGGGAAATTTCCGCTGCCATGAATTTGAGGCAACACACAGGGTAGTACAAATTCCAATACTCTCTGTAATTTTCACCCTTTCATAAGAAAACTTTATGGTTATTATTATTGTTTCAATAATGCTATTTATAACACACCAGGGAGCAAAAACTCATGAGCAAAATAACAAACTAGTCTGCATTTAAGATGAAGAATTGATGAGAAACAGATTTTTATTTCATACCCCCTGTAACACTATAACAGCACTTTAAACTGAGTATGGTATTTGTCATTCATCGATGACAATTATGGGAGTACTGGGAACAGTGATGTCTAGCTTCCTATCGATATGTTTTCTAGGATAAAATCCTCCATGGATTCTGAACCCCACTCCAGATTTTCCTCCATGTGTGGACATAATTAAGTCTTCTTTCTACCCAGTTCTGTTTTCATGGTACATCAGGAACTTAATTTCCTTGAGATATCTGTGCCTCTCTCTGAATTGGTTGAAATCATCCAGAGCATTTGAAAGCTGGTGGGGAAGTTAGGGGAGGCACAGTTAGGGGAGGCACAGTTAGGGGGAGTCCCACAGTTAGGGGAGTCCACAGGGGTGAACTGCTGACACACAGCACGTATGCCTAGGTACAACATGGCTGCCTAAGCCTTCTTTCTGAAGAAAGCCAGGCTGAATGAATGGAAGGCACCTGCTATTGTTCTAAACTGAAATTAATGCGGTATTTGTTTTAGAAATAGTTACATATGCAGCCAGTTAATGGAGCAGATTTATGAGTAAATTCTTCAGACAAAAACTTGATATGGCATGTTTCTGATCTTGTGGAGTCGTGAGAAAACATTGAATGCTCAATAACAGGATGTGTTCCTTCTGATACTGCCTTTTAAAAAGTTAGGTATCTAGCGTGAAATAGTTGTCTAGGCTGCCTTTGCAGCCAGTCAGAGATACGGTTATCCCCAAAATGAGCCTTCCATCCTAAAACGGGCAGGATATCAATTGCCCCCTCAAGGTGTCAGTGTCTCTCCAAGGACTGTGGAGGCAGACCAGATGTTTAATCAAGACTAGATGTCCAGCTTTTAGATGGGAGAAACGACGGCACATGCATTTTCTCTGGTCTTTCTCCATGTTCTTTCACTTGCTGACTTTTCTTTCTGTGTAGACGGAACAGCTGTTTGCAAGCAGAGGACCTCTGGATCAAATCTTGCCTCAGCACCCCTTTCAGTACATTTCAAATGTTTGATATTGAGCAGTGGAATACTATGATAATATTTTAGGATGGTGGCTGTGAACATGAGTTTTGTTTGAAGGTGTTTACAGCACAACGTGTTTTTTTTGGCTCAGTGAATTCTCTTTGGAAATTGTTTACTCCTGAGCCAGAGTAAAAAATACATCTTCAAAAAAATGATTGTATTTCAACGTATCATAGTTTTCCAGGTGAATCTCGGTAAGTGCTACTTGGTGGCATAAAGCAGCTTCGCAGTGAATCTCAGTGGAATAAAATATGACCCTAAGCAGCAATATAGAGAGGCAAGTTCTGGTACCAAAATACAGACTTCTGGCCATACACAATGCATCTGCTTTGATGGGAATTGCTTATACCATCTACAACTGCAAATATGCATATGTATTCCTTATTGCTGCTATTATTAACATGAAAATTTTACATAGTTCTGAGAGGATTTTTCAGAAGGGGCTTTAAATGTGTTTAATGAGGTTTTTTTTTTCATAATATATATTGCAGGTTTGAAGACCCTTCGATGTGGTGATGGGATTTTCAGCACTCCGTCAAAACTTTTCCTAGTTTTCACTTCATACAGCACACCTATGAAGCAAATCATAGCGTCATTCCCAGTGCATGCAACCATTGTACTGAATTCTGTAGAGTTTTTCCTTCATCATATTTGTATATACCTTTATTTAAATAAATTATTGTGCATTCCAAAATATAACATCCTAAATGAAAACAGTCAACTGTGTCATTGGTATAACAAAGAGTTGTTTTAAACGATTAAAACTGAATTATAATCTCCCTGCAGTCTAATGCATTGCCAACAACAATAGTGTCACAGTTATTATAGCAATTAGTGTGCAAAGTAAGATAAAGACATCATTTATTGTGGCCTCAAACTCAGCTCAGCTGCTTGATTTATGCAAAACTTTGAAATAATTTATCATAGACTACATAATCTAGGAAAATAGTGTTCTGAGAGGCGATTTTTCAGAATGACCAGACTAAAAACTTACTGAGTACTTACATTGACAAATGAATTAAGATTAATATCATTTTCAAATTACAAAGGAATAAGTCACTGCCTTATTCTGCTAACTCCTCAAAACTGGTTTGAAGCTTGGCTGTAAGCCTGAATTATGAATTTTAAAGGAAACAGATGTAAGATCTTTGTTTTGGCAATTCGCAAAGCAGTAGGAAACTTCTAAAGTAATTCATAAACCAAGACAAATCTACAGCTATTTGTGCCAGCAAAAATGTGTCTAACATTGCCAAAGGCCTTGTAAAGGAGCACACTGATAAATCACAACTCTTTGGGTACCTGCAATCTGAACCTTTCTCATTTGGAGCCATTTGTGGTTTCTGTTTCAAACCCAGGAAGCTTACTTGGAACAGGGATTAGGGAAACTGTTTTCAGGTTTTCATTTTCTTTTTTTTTTCATTGTATTTATTCCATCACTGGCCTAATGAGGGACAGACATGATCTCAAAACTCCTGTTCCAAGTAACATAATATAATAGCAGCACGTTACCCTTGTTCTTAAATGGGTTTAATTCACAGATATATATCTTGCAGTATATTGAGGATCCACATTGGGTATGACATAAATGTTGGTCCTTGGTTCCTGATATTTAGGTACAACTTCTTTTAATTAGACACTGTGACTAAACACTGCATAATAAAGCACATTAAAAAGTTCCAAACTGGAAAAGAATCAGCATGAAGATTTAATGTATTTACATCTCCTTCCTGCTTTTCAAATGTTTCCGCATGTTTGTTATCCCCAGGAGAGATGTGTCAGCACAAGTAAGTTCCAGATTTCCATAAATGCACACTGAGTGCATTCACAAAGCATTACCAGGACTGGCCAGCTTTTGTGGCCACACTGTTTTCAGTAAAGCATAGCGTATTTTTCCTTTTCATAAAACACATGGGTGTTATTGGAATGGGCAGATTTTGCTCTCAGCAGTTGTATAAACCATGGCCACCCAAGACAGTAAGTGATAAAGTTCAGAGGGACTCCAGGATGGCCACAGGTTGTTGGGGTTAGCAGGTGCCCATCAACTGCCGGGCAGGACCTGCTGGGTTAGAGTCCACATAAAGTTCTGCTTTGAATAATTATTAAAATGAAAACTGGAAATTAGTGAGGTGTCTGCTATACAATGTCTCCAGCTCCTGGTAGTTCCTAGAATCTCTCTAATGACCACGTAAATGATAAAGCCAGTAGATTAACTCACGTTGCTTAGCACTATCGTTACAAATCTTAGTGGAGAAAGTGTGAGTTAAAGGAGCATCAGTGAATGCTAATTGAGCTGTTCCACTCAATTACCTGAGTTTTCTTGAACTTCAAAAACACCCATCTGTGTAGAACAGCTAGAAAAATCTAAAAAATGTCAGGTTTATCATCTCATGAGCTGTCAAAACCAGAAGGAAGGCAAAGCACTCTCACAGTGTTTATCTATCCACAGTGTGCTATGATTTTCTTTCTAAAATCTTCCTGTGTTCACTGGGGCAGACACAATATTGCTGTAGAAATCCAGTGCTTCCTTGTGTACTTCATATAGCAATCTTGACAGGTCAGAACATTGAAAATGGTGGATTAGCTCTCCAAACTGCAGGACAGGCTTAGAAAATGAGCTGTGCAAGGAAGATAAATGCTGGATTTGTTTGGTGTAGCTTCTGCATTTTGACTTTAGGGTTAACCTTTTCATCTTTCTCTCTCTAACCATGAGAAACAGAATAAAGGCTGAAATTTATGTCAGAATGTGAAGAAATGCCAGGAAAAACAAGACATGAGAACCATAAAAGTAGGTGATAGCATTTTCTCCTTTATTTAGTGCAGGTTTGAAATCATAAGGAATGTACATAGATAGGAGTAAAACATCTAAGAGAGTCCACTTTTACCTTTGGCAATTTCTGTAATTTACATCATGGTTATGCCCAACTTTGATTCAAACAAAGAGGGGATCCAGATGATCCCATGTATCTTCACTTCTCAGAGATGAAATTCTCTTTATCCTTTTCTCTCTCCATCCCTAGAAGCCTAATCCATTGCAATGCTTTCAGCTCTGAAAGTCTTCTGTGCCAAAAGGCACAAATTCCCCAGTCCTCCTCTGATGGCTATTTCACTTCTTCCTGCCCATGGAGTGAAACGTCCCTGCGACTGGTGTTTGACCCAACTGGGTCACCTGGTTGCCCACTGCCCTCCTCCTGTCCTGCTGCTCCCCCCCTTCTCTGGCAAAGGGGAAAGAACCATCTGTCAAGCTGAATTTTCCTCACTTGTCATTTGAGAGGTGAAACCCTGCCCCGGTAGCAAGAAGGCATGGACAGCCTTCTGCAAGGCAGGGCAGCTTTGCTCTGCCAGATCATCCTGAACACAGGGGATCACGGTGTCTTTGCTCTTGGCGGGGGGTTGTAACCAGATGATCTTTAAGGTCCATTCCAACCCAAACTCCTGTGATTCTGTGACTATGACTGATCAGGAAGGAGAAGACATCCCCATTGCGACCTCCACCATCACCTGCCAGAAGACGCAGGGAAGCAGGGAGGTGCTGGTGGTATAGAACTGGAGAGTATGTGCTAGTGATCTTAACAAATGTCCTGGCCCAGATCAGACCCTGGAGGCTGCAGCACTGGTTGCCACAGGCAGGCAGCTGCTCTTCATCACGGGTATGAGGAGGGAAGCAGGGGACCCACTACAGAGCCCCAGTGCTTGTGTTACCAGCTGGTAACCATTAGCCACTGAAAGTCAACAAAACACTTTAAAGCAAAATCCAGCAGAAGATAGGCCAGAATTTGTTGTGACAGGGACTCTATTTATCCTGTGAATTTTCCCTGGGAATATTTCTGAAGTCAGAAGAAGAGAAAGAGCAGAATACCAGGAATGAGCAGCCATGGCTTTGTAATGCAAAAATCAAGAGGAGAACATGCCTCCTTTGCATTTCCAAGATGAACTATTGTAAGACGTGGGTGCTCTTCATTTTCCTTTGTGCAGATGCTTTATAACACCCCCTCAATTTTCCCCAAAAACTCTTCAGATTAAAAAAAAACACAACAAAACCTGGTAAGAATAAATTCCTTTCAGGAAGGCTTTCATTTTTCAAGTGTTAGGAAAACTTGTATTAGGAAATATTTCCTAGAACACCTTTGCTTTCATTAATTTATGTTTTCTCATGAAATCAAAAGCATTACAGGTTTTAATTGCTTTCAAGGTTCAGTCCAGAATATTCTTCTCTAGATATTAATGGAAAGGAAAACAAGCCATCGTCTTCCTCCCACCCTGCACGAGTCAGCTGTTTCACAAGCAGAGTAACTGTTACTGGATCTGCACAGTGTATGTCTAGGAGTAAGAAAAGGTAAAGCATCTCCTGGGACTGCCCCTAGTGCAGATACACAGCTCTGAGAAACACCTTTCATGGGTGTGAAAGCGTAGCCCTTAAAAGAGATTCAGTTTGGCAAAAAGCGAGTGGTTTATATCAATCCCCATGTTGCTATTTAAACCAGCAAAAAGCAAAGCAAACCAGAGCTATGGCAGCTCTACAGTAGCTGGGATGTCTTGTGTGTGAACCAAATAGGTGGATTCTAACCAAGGGAAAAAGAGTTTCTGTATGGATTTTAGTGAAGTCAGAAAAGCGAATGCTTACTTCTCAAGACCCCCAGGGTTATAAATCATTAATAAGGTTATAAATCAGTGTCTAGCTTCCAGTCAACAGCTCACAAATTCTGGATTATCACATCAGAATTTGAAATTATCTCAGAGCTGGCTGTTTAATTTTAACTTTCAATAAAGTTTTCCTGTTAAAAAAGATCAATGAGTAATTTAACACACACAATAATGAAAATTAACCCCCCCTCTTGCTTTGTTTTGCTGGGTTAGTACCCTAAGTGTGACATTACTACTGAGAGGAAATTGCCTACCTAATGCAGTAATTCTTATCAACCGAGTGTATTTTGTTTATCTGGCTGTATTGTTATCAGTCATTTATTAATCTGTATTACAGCAGCACCTGGAGACTCCAGATATGGGACTCTTTGTGCTCCAGTCTGTAAGACCATAACAAAAGTATAAGCCTAGACTGGAGAAATATTCAATCCACATGCAAAGAAAGAAAATGGGAGGAAACTTGGGCTCACAGATAAACATGGTAAGTAAGTTATAGTGATCCTCCTGCACCTGCAGGCTTATCCTTATAATCTCTCTCATTACAGCCATTAAGACTGGGCTATAAAATGGGTAGTGCAATGTTATCTTGTTTCCGGTTAATATATGTGTCTGCTAAGCTCTCTCTTATCTAATTTATTTGCTTTTCTTTAATGACGAGGTCTCTTTCAGGCGCAGAGAGCTTCCAAGCTATATTTAGTCTGGACCCACAAGAATATCCCACCTGCGATAGACACCCAGCTCATCTTGCGCTTGCTGTGGACCGTGAACTCCCACTAAACTCAGCCTAAATTCAAGACTATAAACATACCCTAGGGCGATTCAGTCCTGGAGGTAAAGGGTGAGCCTGGGGCCAGGCTGTCAATGCTGATTACAAAGAGTACCAACCACCAGACTGTAGTGGTAACTGGATACACTCTGGGTTCGAGAAACTGTCTGGAGAGAACTTCTGTGCAGTTTAGAGACTTATTATTGCTAGTTGTTTAGGTCTAGGACCATTTTTAGAGTTTGGGTTAAGGCAGGGTTGGACCTGCATTTTAGACAGGTTAGTCTGTAGTGTGTGATGGCAGATTTACTT